AGTATTGGCTCTCAAATGTCAAGCAGCCAAACTTGGATTTGGGTAATGAAAGAGACTGCCAGTGAGTCCTCAGCAAAGCAAATGCCTGATTGGAGTCAGGAGTCAGAAGAAGGGTGGAGTAGGAACAACGCCTGCAAAAAGAGAGGGAGGAAGCAGGACTAAAAAGGAGTTGTTGGACAAGGTCTGACAATAAGGCCAACCCAATAGGAAGCTCTAGAGCAAATATGGCCTATTAGAAGAGCCCTGTGTGAGGCAGAAATAGGATAGTCATTGTCCGCTGTCCTGCTGGGTCAATGGCTGGGGCCAATCTGAGAAGGAGTTAATTGTCAGCTGAAGGCTAGCAGCTAATCAGGCTCCCAGCAGACAGCACAAGTCCTTTCTAGAAGGAGGATCTGAGCTGTTTCCTGCATCTCCATGACTGCATCTTGCAAGGCCTGTCTCTGTGGAAGGAAAGGGGGAAACCACAATTTTGAAAACAGGGTATTTGTGCCTATAAGGGACCCAAGGAGAAGTCATAGTAGGCATCCCTTTGGGGGGATCTGTCCCTCTATATTGTAATTCACACTACCCACAATTCCTCAGTGAATTTCTTGGTGTGATGGAATCGTAAGGAATAAAGAATAAAGCAGCTGGGGAAGTGTGATCTTCCTCATCTTATCCTGTCCCAAAGCTTGCGTCTCAGCATCCACGTGGAAACCACCAGAAACCTATAATCCTGGAGTTCCTGGAAGCAGCAGAAAGCACTAAAGACCAAGACAGAGCCAACTGCTACCTGAAAATAGACTGGGGAACACCCCACCACCACCACTACCACCCGTTCCTAATCCTGGAAATGGGGAAAAAAGAAGCAATCATGGGCATGGGGAAAAGAGAAGCCAATGCCTGTCTTATAAGAACCTTTTAAGAACCCATAGCACAGAGTTCCTGAGAAGGACCTGTACAAAGACTGGATGCATGAAACTAAATAGTGTTCATGAACAGTTGCCTAAATACAGGGCAATCGGGGAAAAAAATTGAAAAACCAGAAATTCAGTAAGCTATACAAGAGATATGAGATTCTAGATAGGCCAGTATCTCACAAAATTAATAAGCCTTGCAATTTATATTTTTCTTTGTTTTGTTTTGTTTTGTCTTATGTAAACTTGACACCCAACATAAGGCTTGAACTCACACCTGAGATCAAGAGTCACATGCTCAACTGACCGAGCCAGCCAGGCGCTCCAAGCAAGCCACTGCAACTGAATGAGCAAAGACCCAGCCAGTCTCTAGCACTGACAGATACATTCACTGCTTTAGTTTGGGGTTTTGTTTTGGGGGTGACTTGTGGGGGGGTTGCTTTCTTTTTAAGTAAATTAGTTGCCAACATTCAAAAATCAAAGAGTTCATATTAAAATTCAGATTTCTACCTTCTGTTTAAAAATTCCTAAGATCTGGCATCACAGGGCTGGCATCTTCAATGCCAAACTTGGGTGGAAGTGAGTACACATCAAGTGTGCAGGCTGCAGGCCAGCAGGACCCACCAACCTCTACGGGCTCCCAGCCATCAAGGCCACACAGTGTTGCCAACACACTGTGTTGAGCTTCAGCTATCAACCAAAGTTTAAACTTTTCTATGTGCTATGTAGAAGAGGATAGGACAACAGGTAAACTCACTTTAGAAAAACAAATCCATCAGAACTGGTCAAACCTTTTTTAAGGTAATTTGACCATAGCCATTAATTGAAAACATTTGACCCACGTTACAAATGTTTTTGCACCAAACACAAAAAAAATATATACACGCAAGCTTGTACACTGAAGCATTGTTTGAAATAACAAAACACTAGAAGTGACTTAAATGTTCATCAGTAGGAGACTGGCTAAATAAATTAGGGAATATCCACACAATGGATATACTGTACAGCTATTTTTAAAAGGGAGAGAACAAAGTAGATCTATTGTGTACCACTCAGAACATTCTCTAAGAATGTATTTTAAGAAATGAAAGAAATAAAAGGAAAAAGGGGATAAAGAAGAGCAAGCAGTTTGAAGGACAGTATATATAGTGTTCTCGCACTCATCTGAAACATTTTTAAGGGAAAAATGCATGCAATGCATAGGAAACTTCTAGAAGGATACACCAGACCAGGAGCTCTAAAGGGAGTAGGTAGAAACAGCATAGGGAAGAGTTACTTTTTCACTTTTCACCTTAAAACATTCTGTCTCTTTTTAAAATCATGAGCATGTGATATTTTCATAATTTAAAGACTAGATATTTAATGATTAAAACAACAGCGCTGAAAGTAAAATTCCAACTCAGAGAAAATTAATTTCTATGAAAACCGTCATTCCCCAACAATGTCAGAAAAAGGAAGCATAGCTATTCAACATACACAGCAGGTCAGGCTGTCATGACTCACTCTGGTTTCACATCTGGGGATGAAAATGCCAACCTCACCAGATTAGAAACAGTCAATAAAATTTATAAAAAGCACCAACACTTGCCACACTCAGTGAGTGAGCATTCAATAAAGTTTGCTGTTAACCCACAGCCCTCCCACCCCACCCAGTTCTGACTTGTGTCAATGACCATCTAGGATGGTTACTGCAAAATGCAAGACTTAAATTCCATCCCAGGTGAATGTTAGCCCTCAAGGAAGATGGGAGTGTCTCCCCAACAATGAAGATCCTCAGGATCTGCAGATGGTACCACCTCCACATATACCGCAGCAATCCCATTGCCTATTACTGCTCCCCATTTCAAAGAGACTCCTACACACCCAGGTATTTCCCCCAAAGATTTCCTACCCCTCCTACCATCTCCAACAAACCAGCTTGATGAAGAGTAGGAGCTAGAGGCTCCCACACCACTTGCCTTCCCTCTATGCTTTTCTATCCACAGATCCCCCTCCCTAATGTCCCCTGTGCTCTCCCAGAAGAAATGGTCCTGGAAGCCAAATATCAACCTTGTCCATGTGATGTTCACCAAGCTCCCAGGCCAGAATTCTCTTTTTTCAGAACACTTTGGTCTTTGAGGTGTGGTCTCCCTCCTCTCCCCAGCCTCAGCCCCTGGATCTGGCTGCCTGCCTCTGCTCTGGATGAAGAGAGATCAGATCTGTTGTGAAGGCCTTTCCCTGTGAGCCCAAAGCCCTGAGAACCCCCACTCCAATCCTCCTACATACTCTCCCCAGGGCCCACAGGTGGAGAGCACTGGGAAGGGTTCCCACAGTGCATTAGCTCTGAATGGGGAGGGGAGGGGGAATGTCATGCTATCCAGCCTCTGTTATCAATAATTCATGAGGTTCAGACTGAGGGGCACCAGTCAGAGAGTCAGTTTTCCCTGGATATGGGGAAAACTAGACTCGGCTCTCTTATCTCATCAGGATGTGCTGAGTACCAAAGCTGAGGACCGCATCTGTAGCTCCTTGGTTGAGGAATATACTATAAATCCAGTGCATGCCTGATAGATCACTTGCTACCCATACATCCCCTTTTGAACGTTGAAATCCCTTTTTAGCTGCTCTGCAGAACTACACGTATACTAAATGAATCTCTAGCAAGTATGAATTCTATTAAACAGCAATCCCCAGAACTGAATTTCATAGACTAGGACTCTCTCTCCTCTAATTGTAAGGACTGATATAGAGTTGCCAGACTGGTGATTTTACCAACTAACAACACTTTTCTCAACGTACCCATCTGCTTTCATCATCTTATCTTAACAAAAAAGACTAACACATACACACACACACACACACACACACACACACACAAAGGAGCAAAACATATCCCCGGATAAAGAACTGTAAGTTAAATAAGCTTAGCTTTACAAATCTCACTATATTGCCTTTCTCTGTCTCAGTTTGCCTTGAAGGAGTGCAAACTTTGCCATGGATCAGCACTACTTCTCAGTCTGGCGTTTGGAGGCCACTGTGTTCAACCAATCCAGACAGATACTTGGGGTCTTTTGGGGCCTTTCTACAGTGTCCCATATGCCCTCCAGATTTATTAATTCTCTCAGAAACCCAGAGGAGAGATCATTCCAGCCTGCTCAGCAGAAGTGTAGGGTGCAGTCTCAGATCCAGAATATATAGCTTGAGAGGACTTTATCCATCATCTCCCTCCCCTAGCATCCTCTGTTTACAGATGAAGAGCCTAGCCTGTAGCAACGATAATAATAACTCTATGGTGGCAAAAATTACTACGTGTTTAGTAGTTTCCAGTTTATAAAATGCTTTTACCTTCAATAAATATTTATTGAACTGGGACAAAGGCTAAGACCTGGGGACATGGTGATTATGGAGAATTGAGTACCCCTGGGTTTGTGTTTCCATCACTGGCTGGGAGACCCTCTCCCCTCTTGCTACCACTTAGGCTCTGTACAGTGGGGCAGTCCTCTTGGAGTAGAGGGTACCAGAAGTCTGATCCAATCAGGATCTTCTTCCCTCTGCACACTGGTTACCATAGTGATCAGAGTCTGCCCTCCGGGCCTATGAGGATGGAGGAGACCGGCAGCCAGTGTGAAGGGCAGTGCCAGACCTAGCCCGGCTGCTCCTCCCCATCACATCTGTCTCCCAGGCTCCTCCACCCTCACCTGAGACCCTCACCTGATGACTCCGTAAGGACCACAGGCCTCACTTCCATTGGCAATCTCCAAACATTTGCTCTCTTGTGAGCTAGCTATCACAGACCCAGACTTTCTTGGAGGTGGAGGTCCATCTCGAAGTTCTGGGAAGGAAAAACAGCCAACTTTAAGGCTCTCCCGCCCCCAAAAAATAACAAGGTCAAGCGGCGGGACGTTGCCGAGGGCAGGGAAGTCTGTGGGTTCCCGCCAAGAGGCGGGCCCCAACGGGACGGCCAGAGCGAAGCCGAGGACAGCGGGGTGCGGCAGCCGTGGGCCGGCAGGGGGCGCTCCGCAGCCACAGCCCGCTCCCGGGTGCCAGGGGAGCCGGGCGGAGCTCGGCGAGCCGGGCTGGGGGCGGGGCGGAGGCGTGGCGCCGGGCGGGGAGCTCGGCCAGTTCCCGGTTCCTCTTCCTCACTGCGGTCGTCCCGCCCCGGTGTCCCGGACTCCTGCACCGCGAGGCGGTGCCATGCAGAAGGCCGGGCTGTCGCTGGCCTGCGGCGCCCGGGCGTGGAGGTCTGTGCGGAAGGCCAGCTCCGGGATGGCGCGCCAGGACCCGCTCGCCAATAAGGTGGCCCTAGTAACGGCCTCCACCGACGGGTGAGTGCCGGGCCGGAGTCTCGGGGGCCCCAGCTATCTGCAAACAGGTACTAACCCCTTGACCTCTGCTTCCCGGCCTCCGACCTCACTGCCGGGCCAAGTCCGACCCCAGAAGGAAGGAGCCACATGGTCGGCCTGCAGCGCCTCCGAGCCCCCTTGCCTTGGCCCCACTTCCACCAGTGTCCTGTCACAGCTGCCCCGGGTTCGACTGCGCCACTTCGGAGCAGCCTCCAGCAAGCCAGGCTCCCAGGGCTCCGGGCGGCCCCAGGCAAGCGGCCCCACCTAGAGTCTGGGAAGACCAAACACCAGAAATCCAAGAGCTCAGGATTCAAAAATCCCATCCCATGGCCTCCATCGACTGTGGAAATGTTCCAGCCCCTGCATTTGGCGCCCCTTAACCTGGACAGGACACAAGACCCATGTGTCCAGGGTTTTTTTTTTTTAGCTCAGTACGTTTTGCCCTTGCCCTGTTTCTCACCCACCGCTCTTGTCTATCCATTTCTCATCCCCACAGGACTTTGCTAGATGCCGGCACTACACAAATCTAAAATACAAATATATGCAAAATGCTAATGGCAAACACTTCCAGAGTGTGTAACCCTTACTCCCATAAGAGTAACGTAAAAAATTTACATTTTTTTACTAGAGACCCGCCCTTTCACATGCCCCCCCCCCAACATAATTAACAATATAATTTTGAACCAATGTAGAATAAGTAAGGGAGGTATCTGGGGCAAGGGCTCTTTCAAATGAGACCCTTCAATCATGGAAGTGGCTGTTGCTCATTTCTCTCCTCTCAGTCCCTATAGGGTATGGGGTGGATATGAGGAGGATATTGTCGGTTCCTAGGAACCTAGCCCGAGGGTCAAAACCCTGGGGGGAAAATCAGTAAATGAGTGCTAAGAACATGTTAAGCCCGTCCATCTGTGCGGTAACGGCTGTGCCACTAGCCCGCTTTTACATGTAATGCAGACAGCACGTCCAACAGAGGCAGAGCTGGAATTCAAACCTGGGCATTCTGAGTCCGGAGCCCACCTCTCAACCGTTTCCCCTGTCCTGGCACTGACAGTTATTTCTCTCTGCCGCAGGATCGGCTTCGCTATCGCCCGGCGCCTGGCCCGGGACGGGGCGCACGTGGTGGTCAGCAGCCGGAAGCAGCACAACGTGGACCGGGCGGTGGCAGCGCTGCAGGGCGAGGGGCTGAGCGTGACGGGCACCGTGTGCCACGTGGGGAAGGCCGAGGACCGGGAGCGGCTGGTGGCCACGGTGAGCAACAAGGATATGGGCACAGAGCCCGGAGTGGCAGAAGGAAGCCAGCCTGAGCCTCCTTCCCTGCTTTCCTAGACATCACTGATGTGATCCAAGCCAGCAGTATTAACTAAGACATAACCGGTAGTTCTGCCTCCCCGCACTAATCCTCCAGCACGTTTTTATTGTGTTCCTTTCTGTTATGTCTCTGAGAATCATCCCATCCCAGTCAGAAAATCAAAAACCACTCTAATGCTTCAACCCTGCATCATCCCTTCGGTCACCCAGAAAAACAGCTGGCCCTGGTTCTCCAGTTGTTTCCAATCTTTTTTTTTTTTTTAAGATTTTATTTATTTATTTATTTAAGAGAAAGAGAGAGAGAAAGAGCATGAGCAGGGGGAGGGGCAGAGGGAAAGGAAGAAGCAGACTCCCCACTGAGCAGGGAGCCTGATGCTGGATTCCATCCTAGGACCCTGGGATCATGAACTGAGCTGAAGGCAGACGCTTAACTGACTGAGCCACCCAGGCATCCCTAATAGTTTCCAAACTAATTGGGAAGATGAGAAGGGTAAATGCAATTGCAAAATAGACGTTCCCAGCTACAGGCTAGTAATCAATTCCCTGTTCTTTAGGTTATAGAGTTGAGTCCCTGGGAGCCTCCAGGAGGCAGCCCGCCATGTTTCAACCACCTACTGTGTGCCATCCACTTTGTTCAGAGCCTTCATGGGTTATCTCTAAGCCTGACAACAACCCAAGCAAGGCAAGGACTATTCTCCTGGTTTCGGAACATTTGGAACATTCTGCTCCGAAAGCTGGAGTAGCATCCCAAGGTCCCTCAGCCAGTTAGAAAGAGCTGTAAGGCAAACCAGACCTGCTGAGCTGACTACAGATCACCAGGCATTTCTCCATTAGCATCAGGTCAGGTCATTGGTGCCCACTTGGATGTAAGTCTCAAAGAAAGTGTCTAAGCCAGTGTCAGAGTTGGTACTTGGCACCAGCCTTCCAGCTACACAAGAAAATACAACTATCTGGCAAAGGAGGCTGCTCTTCTCTCAGGCTCAGAGCACACACATTATGCCCTGGAGTAGAAGGGAGAATCTACCCTGGGTAGAAAGTACAGGATGGTGCTAACAGATTGAAAGGGTGACAGAAATAATTTGGTAATCGTCATAGAAGAGGGGTACCCCAAACAATAGTAAACAGTGGTAGGATAGACAGGATAGAATCATTCTGTTTTAAGGAACCATTTGGCAGACGCTTGAATGTGCATTGGAGAGAGCCAAATGTGTGTCGGAGAAAGTTACCTTGGAGCACCTGGGTGGCTCAGGTCATGGTCTCTGGGTCCTGAGATCGAGGGCTCCATGCTGAGCATGGAGTCTGCTTAAGATTCTCTCTCTCCCTCTCCCTCTGCCCCTCCCCACCCCCTCTAAAAATAAATAAATACACCTTTAAGAAAAAAAAAGAAGAAAGGAAGTCACCTAGACTGGCATAGGTGGCTGGATAGAGCCTGAGATCGGGACCTTGCTCCTAAGGTGAAGAGAAACATCTGGGAGATCCAACTGGAATCAGCCAGTTTGCTGACTAGCCATATGAACTGTGCTTAGCAACTTAAGGTCGAAATCCCGCCAGGGAAACCACCTCTCACCCTGCCAGGTCCACTTAACCTGTCCTACAGCCCTGGCTCAGAGGTAGGGGCTTGAGCTAGACCTCCGGGAGCAGGGGAGACTGGACAGATAGAGGAGGAACAGGGTTCCTGATGATCTTGCAAAATGAGCAGCCAGCCAAGGAGGGACTGAAGGGAACAGGGGAGCCCTGTGAATCCACAGCAAAGAACACAGGCTCTGGAGTGCTGGTGGGAAGTTTAAGGGACAAGGGTCTCCATAGCCTCCTAAAGGAGTTCAGATGTTTTTGGAGGAAATAAGCCATGTGAGGTTTCGAGCAAGATTTGAAAAGGATAATCTGGCACTGGTAAGAAGACATATTAGAGTAGAAAAGACTCCGAGACAAGAATGTTAGCAAGGAAGCTGTTTCTGTCATTCAGGTCTAGAGCAGCAGCAGTGGGACCAGAATGGATACACCCAAGAGACATTTAGTGGGAGCCAAGTGAGATTTTCTTTTTTCTTCCTAACCCACTGTCGAGAAATGGGAAATAGGAGGGATGAGACAAAAATAACTCTCAGGTCATTTGGATGGCCAGTGTCAGGGTGGAGAATGCCAGGAGAGGATACTTATTAGCTATTGGAGATGGGTTCTGCGTGTTGCCAGCTGCTACCCTGCAGTGGGGAAGGCCGCTCCTTAAGAATCGTTACTATCCGGGGCACTGGGGCACCGGGGCGGCTCAGTCGGTTAAGCAGCTCACTCTCGATTTCAGCTCAGGTCACCATCTCAGGGTCATGATATTGAGCCCCACGTGGGACTCTGAGCTCAGCGGGGAGTCTTCTTGAGATTGTCTGTCTCCTTCTGCACCCCCCTGCCCTGCCCCCACTGAAGCGCTTGCTTTCTCTCTCTCTCTCTCTTTCAAAAAATAAGTAAATAAAAAGACTGGTTACTATCCACTGGCTTCCAAATCTGCACTGCAAAGTTTCTCAAAGGTGTGGGGAACAGAATCCAGATCAGCCACTTCTCCACTTGACTATACTTTTTCTAAAAAATATACCTGTCAGAACACAGAACACTCAACTCCTAACCACTTCAGTGTGGTGATCACACAATTTAGAGTAGGCTTAGGAGACACCTGGGTGGTCATTGTGCCTTTCTCATGAGTCTTCTATGGGTCTTTCTCTCTGTTCAATCAAAACCTAGACCTTTCCCCTCTCCAAGCTGCTGGGTCCCCTGCCCCCAACCACACACTGGCAGAGTACAGCACACACCCCTTTCTAGCTGATTCTACACTTTGCTCATCACAAGTCCATAGCCAAGACTTACATAGAGCCAAGACAGGTGACCGGAGCTTTGTGCCGAGACACCAAAACTTAAAGAGAGCACCAGACAGTATATTGATACTGGTTTCAAAAGCTTATGTGACTTTAAATTTTGTTAAATTTACATGTTGACAGCCCAAGCATTCCTTCCGTGGTGTGGAAGCAACTGAGCTTAGCACCTGGTTAGCAAGAATAATTAGTTAAAACGGGAGCCAGCAGATGGTACACATTGTTAATAACACCCCTCTGTGTGCCAAATCATGAAGCACAAAGTTGATTGAGGGCCCATTTAGTGTTGCTCGCCCAAGGCATCAGAGTCGCCTGTTCTGGGCAAATGCATAGTCTGGTTTTAGAGCCACGTATCGTTGGCAGATTCTGGTTGGCCACTCATTACTCTGGCACATGCCTTCACTGCCTACTTTCAGTTTATTAGTGAGGTAAGATGTTGCTGTATCTTGGCTTCCCCGGTTTAAATCTCGGTTTCTGCCTTGAATCTTCCCCACCTCCATGCCAATAAAGGGGGGAGGGGAAAGAGAAATGACATAACTGAGTGGGAAACTGCTTTAAGCCCAGGCTGGTGGTGTCTTCCCCACTGTGGCTCCTGGGTAGCCACTTTCATAGTGACCCCAGCTCACTTTCAGAGGGCTCTTAAGAATTACCTCTGTGGTAGAAGGGAAACCATGCTCAGATCTGTTGCCACTAACTAGGCTGTGCCCTAGGCAGATCACTTGGCCTTTCCCAAAGACCCAGTGAGCAGGCCTCCTGTTCCTTAGCCAACCCTCATATGTCATTACTGAGAAATCCACTTCCCTGGACCTCAGTTTCTTCACCTGCATTGGGCTGAGTGATCTAAAGGCCCCTCCCAGTGGTGATGTCCTGTCAGTCCATTTAAAACAGTGTCTCCGGATGCCTGGGTGCTCAGCAGCTGAGAGTCAGCATTCGGCTCAGGGCATGACCCCAGAGTCCCAGGATCAAGTCCCACATCCGGCTCCCCACAGGGAGCCTGCTTCTCCCTCTGCCTGTGTCTCTGCCTCTCTCTCTGTGTCGCTCATGAATAAATAAATAAAAATCTTAAAAAAAAAAAAAAACCAGTTTCTCAAGGGGCACCTGGGTGGCTAAATGGTTGAGTGTCTGCCTTTGGCTCAGGTTGTGATCCCAGAGTCCTGGGATCAAGTCTTGCATCAGTCTCCCCATGAAGAGCCTGCTTCTTCTCCCTCTCCCTCTCTCTGTGTCCCTTATGAATAAATAAATAAAATCTTTTTAATAAATAAAGAAATAAATAATAAAGAAATAAATAAACAAACAGTTTCTCAGGACACCTGGGTGGCTCAGCGGTTGAGTGGCTGATCCCGGAGTCCCGTAGGATCGAGTCCCACATCTGGCTCCCCACAGGGAGCCTGCTTCTCCCTCTGCTTATGTCTCTGCCTCTCTCTCTGTGTCTCTCATGAATAAGTAAATAAAAATCTTTAAAAAATAATAAAAAATATTAGCTGAGGGGCACCTGGGTGGCTAAATGGTTGAGTGTTTGCCTTCAGCTTAGGTCATGATCTCGGGGTCCTGGGATTGAGATCATGTCAGGCTCCAGGCTCAGTGGGGAGTCTGCTTCTCCCTCTCCCTCTGCCCCTCCCCCACACTCATGCTCACACTCTCTCTCTCCCAAATAAATAAATAAAATCTTCACCCCCCTCAAAATAAATATATAAATAAAACATTTTCTCCGTTCAGGTAGGTGTGGACAGATTGAGTTTGAGATCATGGTAACTCAGTCAAGGAGAATTGGACAGTAGGCATTTGGATAAATGGGACTGGGACTTGGTGCGAAAAATAAAGAAGTCTAGAAGTGGGGTTTTTTATTTATTTTTTTATTGGTGTTCAATTTGCCAACATATAGAATAACACCCAGTGCTCATCCCATTAAGTGCCCCCCTCAGTGCCCATCACCCAGTCACCCCCACCCCCTGCCCACCTCCCTTTCTACCATCCCTAGTTTGTTTCCCAAAGTTAGGAGTCTCTCATGTTCTGTCTCCCTTTCTGATATTTCCCACTCATTTTTTTTCTTTCCCCTTTATTCCCTTTCACTATTTTTTATATTCCCCAAATGAATGAGACCATACAATGTTTGTCCTTCTCCAATTGACTTATTTCACTCAGCATAATACCCTCCAGTTCCATCCACGTCGAAGCAAATGGTGGGTATTTATCGTTTCTAATGGCTGAGTAATATTCCAAAGAAGTGGGTTTTGAGGTGGGACCTGAAGCCGTGAGAATAGAGGAGCTCCCCAAAGGGAAAGAGTAAAAGGTCAACAACAACCCTGGAAGTGGGGGCAGGAAGAAAAGACCACAAAAGAAACTAGACCCAAAATGTTTAGCAGTAGAACTTAAGGAAGCTGGGGAGGGAAATGTTTCAAGAAAAAGAGATGTCATTTTGACATCAATTTGTTCCTAAGAAGAAAATATTTATCCACATTGATAAATGCACCTCCCTCACTGACCTGCCGTCCTAATTCAGACCTTATGCCTCTCTCTCCAGGCTGTGAACCTTCACGGGGGCATTGACATCCTGATCTCCAATGCTGCAGTCAACCCTTTCTTTGGAAACCTAATGGATATCACTGAGGAGATGTGGGACAAGGTGAGAGGTGATTAAAGGAGCAGGAGAAAGGCCTCAGCAAACAGCCAGAACAAACTCAGGCTGCTTTTAGAATGCATTTGTCAAGTGCCTCTATACATATGAGGAATCTTTGTAATTTGCCCACACCTGGAGTGCACCTGGTGAAGGGCAGTGGGAGGTAGCTTCCTCTATCCTTGCCCCTCTTTCATTTCTGCTTCTCCCCAGTTTGGCTCTTCCCTTTGCTCCTTGCTAGCCTTCTTCTGCTTCACTCCCCATCTCTCTCCCCGCACCTGCTCATCCAGGCTCTTCTTCCTGGTGTTTTTCCAGCAGAGACATGGCAGCTCGATGCCAATAGCTAATACACTTAAGCCTACACACACACACCCTCCCCACCCCTTTTTCAGCTGCCAAAAAAGAACGATTTCTCATTAGCTGGAAAACTTTAATAGCTGCTAGTCAAGTGAAATGACCTGTTACCACTTTATAACATACAATGTTTGAAAAAGACCCATGCTCTTTCCTTCTTAACTGCGATGTCAAGAGAATCTGAGATCCAGATGTCTAAATTCAAGTGTGGAATATAGGTTTTTATGTGAGCACACATAATTATATTTGTGATGTATTTCACATACCTACAGCTTTTAATTATGAAGCCTTAATTAAAATATTTGTCTTTGTTTACTAAGGTTAATATTCACACATATTTGAAAATGCTGAATTTTTTATGATCTCCCCTGGTTTGGCTTTTCATTCTGATGTCATCAATAACTTCTCAACACTGAAGTTTAAGGATACTAAAATATTATAGTTTGTTTATCAGTGTTTCACAGACATAAAGACCAAAGTGCCAAATGCACTTCAGTGAGTCAGTTCCTGATTGATATTCTTTAAAGTAAAGAAACATCTTTCATGAGCAGTCTGAATAAAAACCACATGAAAATCAGTTTTAAACTAAGTAATTTTTCTTTTTAATTTGCATTTTTTAAAATGTCACAGTACATCAAATATAAATTCAGTGGTTGATCCTTGATTAAACCCTGGATTTTAAAAATAAGGACATTTGAGGAGACAATTGGGGAGATTTTGTTAGGGACAGCGTATTTGGCAAAATCATTATTACTAATGTTGAATGTCTTGGTGTGATACTGGTTGGTGTGTAAGAATGTCCTTATTCTTTGGAAAAAATGCTAAAGTTTTACTGATAGAGCATTGTGATGACTGCAACTTATCTTCAGTGGTTCAGGAAAAAATTATTCAGCTACAGAGGTAGGACACATGGGGCAAAATGTGAACAATTGGTGAATCTAAGTAAACGATATCTAGAGATTCATTATACTTCTATTTCAACTTTTCTGTAAGATTAAAAATTTCAAAATAATAAGTCGGCATGGAGGGCATGGGCGGGGAATATCCCAGCAGTACCTAGAACAATGTAAATGAGGATTGTGCATTTGTTTTAAATTATGGATGTGGGGTTTGACTGTAGACTATGTTTCAGCTCCCCCAAAAGTACCCCCTCAGGATCCCACTTTCCAATAAATGTCCATCCAGACAGTCCATCCTGGAGGGCCAAAAGCATCTGACTCCTTAAGCTCACAAGCCAGAGAAATGCTGGAACCACCCCAAGTGCCCGAGGTCAGGCCACATTTTCCCTGCGCAGCACGGCCCACTCTGGGGGATGTCCAGGAGGCCAGCCCAACTCCAGGTTCTCCCTAGTCAGAAGAAACACAGAAAATCCAGCTCAAATCCAAAGTATTCCAGCTAATATAGGCCAAATCATGCTCGGTTGGTTAGGGAACAGGATAGACCAGGTTCCTTTGTTTCCCATAGGAACCTAATATGTCATTCTCTAGCTGGATAAGCCTCTGAAAGGGGCTTCTCCCTGGCCTCGGCTCCTGCACTTGCAGGCTCCAGGTAAACCATCTTCGAGATCTGCACCAGGACCCAACAAACATCTCAGGAAATCCGCCCTGGGAGTCCTCATCGCCCTGCCTTCTCCAGCTCTTACCTCATGCTCTTTCTCCTTCTTCTCTCTTGGTTTCAGATCCTGGACATTAATGTGAAGGCCACAGCCCTCATGACCAAGGCAGTGGTGCCAGAGATGGAGAAACGAGGGTACAGACAGTAAGAGGGAGCCTGGGTACAATAGACCTCATGTGGGCTGAGGGCCAGCATCCCATTGGGAAGAGGCTCATTCTCTTCTTTTTCCAGAGGTGGCTCAGTGGTGATTGTGGCCTCCATAGGAGCCTACTTTCCGTTTCCTGTAAGATCCCCCTTCTTTACCACTTCCATTCCCACCCCCACCCCCGATCCTACATTTTTCCACTCTCCCAGTCACCCTGAGAAGTATATGTCCCCTTTTAGAATCACACCACCAAGCCCCTTCTGACAAAATAGACACCTTGCCTCTACAAACCTTAACCTAGGGGTGATTTCCCACAAGACAGTTTTCTAGCTAGGACCCTCCCTTTAGGAGACTCCTCTATTATCTACTGCCCTTTATGCCTTACAGTAAGAACCAAGAATGAACTGGAAACAAAGACGCTGACCCGCTGTCTCCTTTCCCCAGGGCCTGGGCCCCTACAATGTTAGTAAAACAGCGTTGCTGGGCCTCACCAAGAACCTGGCCAGAGAGCTCGACCAAAGGAACATTAGAGTGAACTGCCTGGCACCAGGACTCATTAAGACTAGCTTCAGCAAAGTGGTGAGGACTGCCAGGACCCTAGAGGGGTATCTTCCCAGATGACGAACCCCAGTATCTTCCACCCCCACCACCCTGGGCTTTTGGACAACCTCCCCACTTCCAGCCACCCGTCCAGAGCAGACCCCACATGCACCTTTCTCCCTCTCTGTCTCTGTCTCCTCTTCTGCCACATAAAAAGATGTCCCTTTTTCCCACAGCTTTGGATGGACAAGGCAAGGGAGGAGAGCATAAAAAAAGTCATGCAGATAAGAAGGTAAGGCTGTCACAGGGGAGAGTTGAGAAGGACCAGGACGAAAGGTCTCGTCCCTCACACAGCCCACAGCTTGCTGTCACTTGGTCCCACAGCCAACACGAGCTCTCCTCTGCCGCAAACACAGACCTCATAAGTTCATGAGCACTGCATCACTACAGTGGCGTGTGCTAGAGGTCCTCTCCCACTGCAGAAACCAAACACAGAAGTTCTGGGTTTCAGCAGAGTGCTGCTCTGGGAGAAGCCCTGACTTCTCTCTCCACCTGGGTGTGGCCTCCATCTCTGGGCAACCCTAGCGCCCAGGGACCAAGACCAAAACCAGAACCTTTTTTTTTTTTTTAGTTCCCTTTGAATAAAAAGTCATGTTTCTAAAGCTCAAATTGATGATCCTCCAATCCAGATAAAAGGACTGAAGAGCTTCACAGCATCCCAAAACTCCCCTTGCTAAGAAAACTCACCTCTTCCCCACAGGGCTAGCCAAACTGTCCAGGCCCCTTTGTCTGGCTCCTCTTCCTCTATCTTCCCTGCCTCCAGCTCTTGGCTACCCTGTCTTGTCCCTTCAAGTACACATTCCAACAATGCCTAGTCTTTACTGGTCCAAACATCCCAGACCCTTTCAGGTGCGCCCAAAGCTTTTCTGATGTCAGGCATGAGCCGCACACCTAGTTCACAACTCGCTGACATGTCAGAGTACCATCATCCTGGAGCCCCAGTGAATGCCTACACCCTTGGTCTTAGATGTGCATTAGAATCATCTAGGCACTTGTGAAACGACATATGCTCAGGCTCTACTCCCAGAGTTTCTTTTTCCATTGGTCCAGTGTAGGACCTAAGCATCTTTTTTCACTGCACGTTACAATGTGCAGCTAGGATGGAGAACCGCACTAATCCAGCCTTCTAGGTTTGAAGTGACCGTTCGGCCCACCTCTAGACCATTCTACAGCAGTTAGGTTACAGTGTTCCCTAACTATGCAATCACTGATACAAGCACTGAGGATTAGCACATTCTCCCAAAATGAACCTGACTTTAAGGGACAAAAATAGATTCCTGAAAAAGTTGTCTGTGAATTGAAGCCATACAAATGCAACCGTTTTAAACAAACCATTTACTGTCTCCCAGACTCCCAGACACTGGAACAGTATACACACACGCGAAACAAATAAAATCGCTGCTCACCAGTTTACCTGTATGACGTCAGATTTTGCTGTCCTGAGTTCTCTAAAAACCAAAGTATCTCTGTATTATTGAATATAATGTGTGGTGGGTTTTGCAGGGTACAGTATTTATACAGTATTTATTACGACAGCTCATCATCATGCCAATCCTATTTGACAGGAAGCTTGTACACTGGTCCTGATAAATCACCTGATACTTCTTGATTAAGCAAATTCATTCCCTGTGGGCCAGATCAGGGGTTGTTTGATTTTTACTACCTTCCTTGTTGCCCCTATTCTCCAGGATGGGCAAGCCAGATGACTGTGCAGGCATCGTGTCATTCCTGTGCTCTGAAGATGCCAGCTACATCACTGGGGAGACAGTGGTAGTGGGTGGAGGGACACCATCCCGCCTCTGAGGACCTGGAGAGACCTCACCAGGGCAGAGATTGGGCTCCATGCCTGAGTCCTGTTCTAGTATTCATCGACTTGCCTTTCCCACCTCTGCCTAATATATTGCTCACCTTACACCCCACCCCACCCCCCAAATCAGTTCTGCTCTGTGAAAAGATCCAGCCTTCCCTGTGGTCAAAGTATCCTCTTGTGAGGATTCCCTCTGTTGCTGTACCCTTGGATACAAACTTCCCCTGAGAGTATAGGGCAGGCCTGCTGAGAAAGCTATGTCTACCTTGGCAAAAACCAACCAGTATCTTTTTCCCTTGCATGGGGAAACTTGAGGGAGATGGGACTGAAGGAACCCAGGTGGGAAGAGCAGGGTGGAAAAATCAACAACCTGCACAGGGAGATGCAAATAAAATGCAGATGATTGTGTTGCTTTGAATCGGTGTGTTCATTTTTCATAGGAGTGGTAGCCAAGCAGAGATCCTTGGTGGACCACATCTCTGCATTTCCCCCTAATCCTCCTCCCTGTCTCCAGGACCTCAGCTTGATGCTCAGGGGTGGATATGTCTGCAGAACTGCCAGCTGAGAGGAGGTGGCTCGGAACTCCCGAGTGATACTCTCGGCCTCACACCTATGGGGATGGTGCTAAGGGCACTGCAGGAATCCCCACAGCTGGGCAAGTGGGAGGGAGGATGAACATCCCCAGATCTGGCCAGGTCCTCTCCTGGCATCGCCCTCGATCCTGAGTTCCCTTGCGGGTCAGCTTGTAGGAGCTGGACGCGCGTCCCTAGCAGTAAGGCAAAAGGGAGGGGCCTTGCAAGGATGACCCAGGAGGGGTCCCCAGGCCCACAAGTAAAAGAAATGGGTTCTGCTCACGGGGCCCAAGCAGTGGATGGCACGGAAGGTGTGAGCCACCCCGTCCCGGAAACGGCCCGGCTCCAGGCGACACGCACGGGGCGTCGCACTCGGGAGCCGACGGGAGGGGTGGGCGCGAGCGCGCGCGGGGTCTCACGCGGCCGGGAGGCGCGGCGCGCATGCTCAGTCCCGCACCTCTCCGGGCGGGGCGGGAGACCCGGGCTTCTAGGCCCGGGAGCGGGGGAGAGGGCGGGAGTGAGCGGGGAGTGAGGGGGGAGGAGCGCTCGCGCAGCCGCCCCTGACGGGAGCGGGCTCGGCGGCTGCTGCAGCGCTGAGCGCCCGGGCCCTGCCGGAGCCGGGTCTAGCATGTGCCGCGGCTCCCCGGCGGCGGCGGCTCCTCTGCAGCAACGGCGGCAGCAGCGGCCGCCATGGCCAAGCCCGGCGCGGAGCTCACCCGCGAGCTGCAAGGTACGAGGCTGCGGTGGTCTCCGGGACGCCCCGTCCCGGAGCATCCCAGACCCAGTGCGTTCCTCCCCGCGGTACACCCCTGCCCGGTGCCTCCTCCCTCCCCGCGCCCCATGCATTCCGACTCCAAGGCAGCCCCCGGCCCCTGCACCCTAGCTCGGGGCATCGCAGTCCCCGGAGCATCCTCCACTGCCCGCCTCGCCTCACCCGGTCAGGACCTTCCAGTCCCAGAGCCGCCCGACCCGATCTTCGGTGACAGGTGCAGTCCCCTGGCGCTCCCTGGGGCTGCCTCTCATTGCTCCTGGCCCATCCCTCGGCGAGGCGTCCAGTCTCCCCTCCGGAGAGTCCCCGCGTCCCCGCCGGGCGGGGCCCGGCCCGCCCCGCCGGGCCGCGGGAGCTGCCCCTGGTCCTGGCCGCCTCTTGGCTCAGCACCCTCCCTCCTCCCGGCCCCGCCCCGGAACTAGCCCTGAGAGCCCCTCCGGCAGCCCGGCAGCTCCCAGGCCAGTGGGGCAAAGAAGGGAGTCAGGGAAGAGGGCCCCACTGGAGCTGAAACCAAGAGCAGGGTCTCTGCAGCTCCCCTCCCACAACCCCCGTCTTAGCCTGCCCCTTCTCCCTACTTATACCCACACCTCAAGGTCTCTCCTGTTTGTGAGGTTCTCAGACTCAACCCAAACCAGGGCCCGACCCCCCAGCACTATCACAACCCTCACTCGCCCCCTGCCCCAGGCTGGAGCAGTCTAGCCCACGCAGAAACCAGGACGCTCAAGGGTACTCAAGAGGCATGCTGCGCCGTGGCAATTTCCCATATCTACACACACACATAAACACAAGCATCGGATGTGTGTGTACACACATCTTAACAGAAACTGCACCCGCACCACACAAGCGCATGCACACACACGCACTAGGATATCTGGATGGTTTTACTAGGAAATTTAAACAGTAACTCCTTACCACCACCACCACCACCACCCCTGCCTCCCACCCAACTACCAGCATGGCACCCTCATTCACCTATCCACCCCTACTAACGCCACACACACAGGCTCCCTGGCATCGTCAGAAGGCAGGCACACATGCATAGTAAAAGGCAGATGCTCACACCCAGACCACCCAGAATATAGTCAAAGGGACACCCCCACACCCCCACACTGACTCACTATGTATGTGTTGATGACTGCTGGAGAACATGGGTTGGAAAAATCCTTCACACCCGCCAAAGTGTAAGACACACCCTCCCACAGACAGTGTCACTCAGCAACTGTCCCCTGACTCAGGAACATCAGGAGCCAGAGTTTTTCCACACCCCCCTTCCTCTCTAATAGGAAGAGAAAAGCCACCCAAGAAGGAAAGCCTCTCTCTCTCTCTCTCTCTCTCTCTCTCTCTCTTTCTTTGTCCTCTCATCTGACCCCACCCCTGGAGAACCCTGGGAAGGTGGGGATGGCCAGGGTAAGGGGAGCTCTGAGCAGGCCCCCCACCCACCCGCAGATAGCATCAGGAGGTGCCTAAGCCAAGGGGCTGTGCTCCAACAACATCGGGTGAAGCTGGAAACGAAACCCAAGAAGTTTGAGGATCGAGTTCTGGTGAGGGCACTGCTCTTAGGCTGGGGGCTGGGGGAAGGAGCAGGCAGTGGGAGCATAATCAGGGGCAGCTGGGCCGCTGAGAACAAAAACACCAGGAGGCAGGGGAGACTAGGGATGGTGGGCGTGTGAGGAGACCAAGGCTGTGGAAGGGAGCAGGCCGGACTAGGTGGCTGTCTAGGAGCCCAGGGTGGGGCTGAGAGAGAGGGAGGACCCCTGGAGCAGGGGGCCACTGCTGATAGGAGTTGCACACAGGCTGAGGGGGCTGAAGGAGGACGGGAGGCCTTGGGCCCAGGAACTGCCACTGGCTGCTGATATTCTTTCCCTCTCTCTGAAGGCCCTGACCTCCTGGCGCCTCCACCTCTTCCCTCTGAAGGTCCCAGCCAAGGTGAGTCTGGCTGAGGAGCAGGGGTGCCCCTGGACTACTCCTTCCAGAGTTAGGCACCCTAACCTCAAGATGAACATCCCCATGCCCACCCCCTCCACAGGTGGAGAGCTCCTTCAATGTCCTAGAAATCCGCGCCTTCAATACACTCAGTCAGAACCAGGTGAGTAGCAGGACTTGGGCCCTACTCTTGGGCCAGCAGAAGGAAGGATTTGATGTCCGAGGCCTTGGTTCCCCCTTTCCTCCAGATCCTAGTGGAGACGGAACGTGGCCTGGTGAGCCTGCGGCTGCCATCCGCAGAGAGCGTAGACCAGGTGACGCGACATGTGAGCTCTGCCCTCTCCAAGGTCTGCCCTGGCCCCGGGTAAGTGGCAAAGGAGGAATCTTGCAAAGGATTAGACAACAAGGAGACTTCTCCTTCATTCTCTCCTTCCCCTGGACCTGGGCTCCTGGCACACCGAGGGGAAGAGCCCGTATGTCCCCACTCCTGCTTGTTCCCAGGGACCCAGAAGCTATAACAGGGGAAGAATTGAGAGCCTCTTTCCACCCCTCTCTGGGATGGATTTGTTCGTTTTCCAGGTGTCTAATCCGGCGTGGAAATGCTGACACCCCAGAAGGGCCCCGAGACACATCCCCCAACTCTGAGACTTCCACATCTACTACTCATAGCGTCTGCGGTGAGCAGGGACAGACTCGATGGAAGTGGAACCTCAACTACCCTGCCCTTGTCCAGAGTCCCTTGTGCCTGAGGCTTTACCTGCCCCGAGGACTCTGTAGCTCTCAGACCTCAGAGGTTCATGGTGTAGCGGGTACCCAGGACACTGGCCACATACAATGACCTTCACCTTTCCTTGAGCCCCAAGCCTGCTAACCCCACACCCTTACCCCTCATGGAGCCAGCTCATGTTCTGCCTCACAGGTGGCTTCTCCGAGACCTATGCTGCCCTGTGTGACTACAATGGACTGCACTGCCGTGAGGAGGTGCAATGGGTACGTTGGGCAAGGACTCAGCAGGTGGGCAGGTGGGACCCAGAGGGAGAGGGCAAGGGATAAGGGAGCAGATGTGAGCCAGTTCCACCTCTCCAAGGATGTGGACACCATCTATCATGCCGAGGATAACCGGGAGTTCAATCTTTTGGATTTCAGCCACTTGGAAAGCCGGTAAGCAGATGGAGCAGAGACTCAATCCCCCCCTTCCAGCCTCAGCCCAACCCTGGCCCTTCCAGGCTCCCTCTTCTAGTCCTGCCTACAGCCCCAGCTCTATCTCCCCAACCCCACTCCCCCTTGCCCTCTACCCATCTAGACTTTCCCCAGCCCAACTACCCCATCCCTAGATTCTTCTTTCCTGCCCTGGCTACCTGCTCACCACTTGCCTGCCCCCTTCAATCTGCCCACAGAGACTTGGCCCTAATGGTGGCAGCCCTGGCCTACAATCAGTGGTTCACCAAACTCTACTGCAAGGATCTGCGACTGGTAGGGACTAGGAGGGGTGGGAGATGGGCTGGTGAGTGGTGTCCTCTCTGGCTCCTGATCAAAAAACCCCCTCTGTCCTTAGGGCTCTGAAGTGCTAGAACAGGTGCTACATACCCTGAGCAAGTCTGGGAGCCTTGAAGAGCTGGTGCTGGACAATGCTGGGCTTAAGACGTGAGGCCAGCCTCCTCCCTGGGCAGTAGTGCCCCAATGATGTAGGCTTAGGGTCTCAGAACCTCAGAGTATGATGCGGCCTCCAAGCCATCTCCTCCAGCTCCTCACTTGACAGAAAAGGAGACATAGGCCCCAAAAGGGCACAAAGCAAGTCTGTGGTCAAGCTGGGACTCAGACCCAAGCCTCCTGGCCCCCCAGCTCCAGGGCCTCTCCCAGTATGGTCCATGCCCCATCCCCCTCTTCTGTCAACTACCCAGCAGGGTGGGCTGCTCTAGTCTCAAGGACCCAGAGCTAGGCTTTGTCTTGGTACAACTTCCCAACTTCCCACTTCCTTCAGAGTGATGACAAGCTCCCTGGCAGGGCCCAAGCTGGTCCCCACCTGTGGGGGCCTCTGACCTTTCCAGAGCCATGCAGGCAGGCAAGGTGGAAGAAGAGGGGAAGCCCAGGGGCTGGGACAAACAAATCCTTCCTCCCCTTCCCTGAAGGGACTTTGTCCAGAAGCTGGCCGGG